ATTAATTGGAAGAGATATATTGTTACGAGATATCTAGATAGACATAGATATATATGCGGTACAGTTTGCCTGTGGGCCACTCATGCTTGTGCTGTTGTTGGTCCTTCACTGAGCTGCAGATAAAGGTAAACTTATAACATACAAATAGCTGAAGTGAAACCGGTGTTTAAAACAATGAAATGTTTCTCTGTGAAATCTGCTGTTTCACCTTTGGACCCATTTGTCAAACAATCTGCATTCATCCACTGCACAGTGTCATCCACGTCAATCATTGTGCACTTGGGATTTGGTAGCATTGTATAGGAACATATTTGCAGAGACTGGGAACACTTTTCTTTAGGCTCATCGAAGGCAAATCCCAAACAGTAACAAACACGGTTAAATTAAGCAGAAAGAGGTCAGATGTCTCACTGATGTCATTTGCCAAAGCTGCAGTTGAAAGTTAATTAGACTTTGGGTCTCCTGCAGTCAGAAAGCTTTGCTGTGAAGGGGTCTTTGAAAAAATGACGTGCATAGTTTAGTGGCTTTGAAACTGATTATGCAGAACTGAGTCAGGGTCACTTCCTTTCCTGTGTGGAGATTTGTAGATGTAGACAAACACAAGAACACACTGATGATGCTGCACAAGAAATCAGAAAAGTCTGCTATCAAAGCTTAGAGATCTACTATTTTTGTTGTTTGTTTGTTTTGACAGCATTTTGTGTATTTTGGGATTTTTTTTTCATGCTAAATATCACAGCGCTAAGAGAAAGGAATAAGAAATACAATAAGAGGCTTTATAAGAGATTTGGTTCCTGAATTTTTCATTCTCTGACTGTTGTATTTATTTTGTTTCACAAATTACACTGTGAGCAGGTGTTTATGTTTGTACTCATCACACTCCGCGCACAGTGAACAGTTGTACTTTGACCTATAACCTCTCTGCTTTGTATTGTTTCCTCTTTCAGACCAGAAAACCATCACAGCTGAGTCTGGACAGAATGTCACTCTGCCATGTCGAGCTCTAAACAACAACAAGATCCTAACTGTAGAGTGGCACCGACCTGACCTGCAGCCAAAATATGTTCTTTTATTTCGGGATGGAAACATTGATCCAGACAACCAGCATCCATCTTTTAAGAACCGGGTGGATCTGCAGGACAGAAAGATGAAGGATGGAAACGTGTCTCTGATTCTGAAGAATGTGACGATTAATGATGCTGGAACATACGAGTGTCAAGTCTTCCTGGAAGAAACACACTCCTTGCAGTCCATCACAAACATCACCCTGAGTGTTGATCCTCCAGGTGAGTGAGTAGAGTTGAGTGTGTGATCAGAGGTGAAGCTGCTTCCTGGTTGTTGATGTTTGTTTCTAAAGATGTTGTTGATGAGACTTTGTAGAAAGCAGCTGGTCTGAGTGATGTGATCAGAGTGCAGTAGATAATGTCTGACAGCAGTTTGAAGAGGAAATGGATTCTGTTCTGTTCTTCACTCATCACCTACCTCAGTGTTTCCCAACCACTGTGCTGCGGCACACAGGTTTGTCGTGGTAGATGATCTGGTTCCACCTGGTTGGTACTCTAAGCAAATGGCGTGACTGGCAGAACAGTTACATTCTCTTCCACTAGAGGGCAATGCAACCTGCTCTTATTAAATGTTTTGCCAACTGCCAGTAAAACAGAAGACAGAGGAAATTACATAATTGTCATGCTGTGAGTGTGACAATGCAGCGCATAAAAGCAATAAATATTTGAAAAGAACCATGTGTCAATCTTACCTGGATCCTGGAGAAAATTCCAATACAGATGAAGGCCCTAGCACGAGATGTGGTCAGAAGAAAGCAATTTAAACAAAAGAAAAGGTATCCTGGGGACAAATCAAGCCACTTCTGCTATGCAGGGAAAGAATTATCAACATGCTTTTCGTGACATTTTTGTTTGGTGGTGTGCCGTGTGATTTTTCTAATGTGAAATATGCGCTGTGGCTCCAAAAGTTTGGGAAACACTGATCTACCTGACAGCTAACATCTCACACCTGTTTCTCACCTGCAGGTCAGCGAGGAGGATCTGTTGGACTGAAAGGCAGTGTGCTAGTTTTAGGTCTGCTTTTTGTTGTTGCTTTTGCTTTTGCATTTTAGAGAATAACAGCGACAGGATCCGTACCAGCCTCCTGCTGAACCACAACAGCTTTGAAACCTCTCAGAACTTTTTCCATCTGAACTCTGACCCATGAATTGATGATGAACATCAAACACGTCCAGAGTTGCTTTGATGTCAAATTTCTCTGACTATCATCAAACCTGTTCAGACTGTGTCAGTCTCTGTGCTGTCTGTCAGAGACTCTGTGAACTACAATGTTTGTTCATCTTCAGTTTCCATAGGATTTGTTTACAATAAGAAGGAACTTTGTAAATCAATTAATGAATTCACTGTATGATACAGAATCATTATCCTAATAGTATAGTAGCTTGTAGGTTTTCCGTTCCTCTCAGCCTCCAATTTGTTGTTCTTTATACAACCTGAATTCCAGAAAAGTTGTGACGTTTCATAAATTTGAACAACATGAAAGCTAAGACTTTCACTTTATATGAGCCAATAACTTATTCACAACAGAACGTAATTAACATAAGAAATATTTAAACTGAGAAGTTTTACAACTATGAATGCTAAAAGTGCTATAAAGGATTTAGAGCAACAGAACGTAATTAACATTAGAAATGTTCGCCTTGTAATCGGAAGGTTGCCGGTTCGAGCCCAGGCTTTGACAGTCTCGGTCGTTGTGTCTTTGGGCAAGACACTTCACCCGTTGCCTACTGGTGATGGTCAGAGGGTCCGGTGGCGCCAGTGTCCGGCAGCCTCGCCTCTGTCAGTGCGCCCCAGGGTGGCTGTGGCTACAATGTAGCTGCCATCACCAGTGTGTGAATGTGTGTGTGAATGGGTGGATGACTGGATGTGTAAAGCGCTTTGGGGTCATTAGGGACTAGAAAAGCGCTATATAAATACAGGCCATTTACCATTTACCATCTACTACCCTTCAGATGATGTCTAGTTCAGGGAAGGCCGTTTGTATTTGCCAATCTTTCACCTATAGAGAACATTACAGACGCATAATTAATTAAATGCACAAACTCTTCGGCAGATGAAAACCTATATCAGGCAAGAATTGGACTGAATTTCCAAACCAAAACTCCAGAAAGTCATAACTTCAATGCTCAGACATCTTCACACTGGTTTGAAAAGAAGAGGAGATGCTACACAAACAGGCCCCTGTTTCAACTACTCTGAGACCTGGAGCAAGCATCTGATTTGAAATGAGCTCATTTAGTGCCTGAAAGTATAAAATCTAAGTTTAAACATTCATGTTATCAAAGTCAGCTTTATTGGCAAAAAACATATGCGCAGAGCACACACAGGAATTTCAAATTGCAATGCTCCCACAGCCCCCAGCCCTCGAGATAAAAAGATAGAAATACAACAATCTTATGTACAACACAATGCAATATAATACAAAACAATACAAAACAATCTTACATAAACAAAAGTGTCCAACACAATCAGTGTTATTCATGTTCTGTTGTGAATGAAATATTGGCTCATGCTTTTTGAAAGTCTTAGTTTTCATTTTGTTCAAATTAAATTAATTAATTAATTATTAAATTACTTCTCTGGAATTCGATGTATTTTTGCTTTTTACATTCAAATATGAATAAACTTTTTTTTATCTGTAATTGTATGTTTTTATAAGAAGTCATATTTTGCTAATAAAGAACTGTTATTTGTCCAAACCTGTTGTTGTGCTGTGAGCACATGGATGGTCTTGAAAAGAAAACATTTGCAGTTGAATTACAAAATGAGGAGTACTTGATAATTAACAAGGGTCAAAGAATCTGAAAATGCGATTCAAAGCTTTCTTCTTTTTTTTTTTTTGTTTTCTCCGTTTCTGGTGATTATTGGACAGGGCAGGGTTTTAGCTCAGAGGTCGGTAACCTGCCCTCTTCTAGCTGTGGCTGCCAGAAGCTTTCAGGGTAAAAGAAATAAAACAAAACTAAGACAATTTTAAACAAACTATTTTTATATTTATTTATTCTATACGCAGTTTTATTAAATGTATTAATAAAACAAAAATTGCAAAATCCACCCCGTCTACCACACCTCTCGCTCTCCTGTGTTTTCCCTGCCAGTGGCTAATAATGAGAGAGCTCCAGCAAGCTAACCATGGATTAATCCGAAGAACAAAACTCTAGGGGGAAACTGGTGTGTAATTCTCTGTTTGGACTGATTCATTTACTTTCACCACTTATTACGCTGACTTGCCCGATGTTTAATAACATTCTTTTAATTGCAGTGTCGCGAGACGTTTCCAAATTTGCTGAAAAGCACCAAGCTGGAGACAAACAAAAAAAGAGGGACTGGAACTGCTAAGCAGACCAAATGCTTTTTTTTAGACCTTGTTCAATAGAAAAGCAATTATTGCTGCTAGTTTTCTGGTAGCCCATGAGATAGTAAGACACAACATCCATTCACCGATGGAGACTACATAAAAACATAAACAATTCATAAAATTATCAGTGCACCTATTCTCACATCAAATCTCTTGCTTCAAGACAAAGTCTGGTGGCTGTCAAAGGGAGAGGGGCTAAAACAATTTGCTGCGAGTGTGAAACATGTGAAAACTTCACCTATCCCAACTGGAAACCGCAGAGTGGAAAAGCTGCACTTCGTAGTAGATATAAGATGACCATCACATCACCATAACAAGCAGAATGAACAAAAGGAAAAACGGTCCTCAGGATGTTTTGGTGCTCAAGCGCAAAATCACTTTTGAGACTACAGAAAGATGCATTCTCTCTTTTCCCTTCCCGAGAGAGCTCAGAGCAAGCAATCACATAAAATGTGAGCATTTGCAATATGCAATCATAGTAATGTAAACTGCACTTGAGAAAAGATTCAGTGAAATCAGAAAGGTGAAAGAAAAAGAAACATTATCCTTTCCTGGTGATGGACCCATCACAGTGAACATATCCGTATTTACAGGAGTAAAACTGGGTGATCTTGAAATTGAACCTGCTGACATAGCTGATAAAGACATATTCAAGTTTTGTTTTTTTTAAATGACAGATGATCTGGAAGATCTGGCCCATCAGAGGCTGCTGTGTTTTATTTATTGGAAAACTGAGATGACGTGAGATAGATTGTATTTGATTAATTTTCCACGAGATGTGAACTCAAACCTGAAAATTGGTTGTTGTTTTTTTAAGTAAAACTGTGTTTTTTCTCCACTTTAAAGTGTTTGTTATACAGTTCTTAAAAAGTATAAAAGCTCGTATTATTATTATTCATGTATTAAGTATATTATAACACCTCACAGAAATACAAACTTGGACCACTGTGAGCGACATCAGACGTGTGCACTGTGGTCACGCCGCACTGAATCCATCCAAGTTACATGGTTTATTAAAATGACAACATTTACATGTATGTTAGACTACTTTTAATTAACTGCTTTAGCCCACTTACAATGAAAATTTAAAAAAAAAAAATCTTGTTCATGACCTGTGTAGCATGTTAACACTATTGGAAGTAAAAATAACTTGACTCCAATTTTGAAAACAACTTTTCTTTTTATAAAGCTCTGACTTGTATTACGATTCTCTGGTCTGGGAGAGAGTCCTGTAACACTGTCTGCAAAATACAGTATATAATGACCAGTGTTGGGCAATTAATTATATAGTTACTTCTTCAAAAAAGTAACTGAGTTTGGCAAACAACAAAGTTTTTTGCAGCTATTTTTTAAATGCAGCCAAGGTGTCTTTAAATAAACATTTCAAACTATTTACAGAACAATCAGCTGTTCTGCATCAAATCTGATGCCACACAAATTATTTGTGCCACTTCAAAATATTATTTCTGTCCACTATGAGATAAAGGAGAACAGCAGCCTGATACCTGCAGGCCTGACAGCAGGAGATGTATCACTGCTGTAACACCTGTAACATTCAGCAGTCGCCTCATTGTTCTGATACACAGAACAAAACTATTGACTACACTACACACTAACTACACGTCGCAAATCTCTCACATCTCAAAACACCGCCGTAACTCCTAAAACTCCCCCCCGTTTCTTAACAACTTGCCATATCCTTTTTTGATTTTTTTTGATTGGTCGACATGGTACTTTTTTCGACCAATAGGAAAGGGTGGGGGTGTTTTTGGTTTTGTTTTTGCTCACAGGCTTTCGAGCGTTTTCCTTATAAAATGCCTTTTTTACCGTTTCTTCCCGTAGTAAATATAAACAACGACAGTATTCAGGAAGAAAACCAAACATTGCATATTTTTATCATAACTCTGGTTTTACGTGGCCTATCAACACAATTTAAAAACTGGTATAAAGTCCACACTTTTTCCGTCATTTGTTCCATCTGTCCTGCTCACATCTCCAATGGTTGTACACGTTGGCTTCGCTCCACGTCACCCACGTCGCTTTGCCAGCTAAAACACCGGTGTCGGCACATAAGGACGCTGCCATAGCCTGTCAACGATGTTGATTAGCTGCGTATATACGAATGTGAATCACATTATTGGCTGGACTATGGGATAAGGTGGCATCGTTCTAATCCCATACTGGAGCAGCCAGTCACTTACTGACTAACACTGCAAAACAGAATTGTTAAAGTTTAATTTTAATTTCAATTCAGGTTAGATTTTTTTGTGCGCAACGCAGATTTTCTGTGCGCAGAGACCGTGCGCAGCTTAGAGGGAACATTGCTCTAGTGTCCGTATATAAACATGTGTGAGGATGGTGTTAATGTAAAATGTGAATCATAGTGTTCCAGTCTTAAGACATGACGAATGAAAAACAAGATACTGCAGACTATTTTTTTATACTAAGTAAAACTTCAGGTCCCCACCACTGTGAACCAATAGAAAGCTGGTGCTCAGAGGAAGAGGGCGGGCTTTACTTGGTGTCAGTGACAGAAATGAAAAAAAGCTCAAATGAGTGAGAAGGACGATGAAGGAAACATCTGTGCTGTGTCTGC